GCTCGAAGAGCTTCATGGTGTGGGACATGACCTTTATGCCCCGATAATTGCCACACTCCTGCACCGATCCCTTCCCTTTGAAGACTGGAGTGATAATACTCAGTCTCCATTGGTTAGGGATTTTACCGGTGAGGAGCACGCGATTAAAGAGGCCGGTAAGGATGCCCACACCACGGGGACCCATTGCCTTCCAGGCCTCGATGGGAACCCCATTTGCGACCACCCTTGGACAAGCCCAGCACCGCTTTCGCCGCCTCAGATATGGCAGCCTGAATGTTGTCCTAGTGGTTCTGGACTAGATTACCTTCAGTGTCGGCGCATTTATCGCCGATCGCTGAGATGAACTCCTGGGACGTGGTACTATCAAGCCGCCACCATCTGATTTGGCGTCGGCAGCGCTCAGCGGGCTTGTCGGCCGGCTTTACGCAGAGATTCATGACAAGAAGGCGGTGTTGCGCAGTGAGACTCTCACCTGGTATGACCTTGCAGTTGGCCACTTTGCTGATATGGTGTCTCCTGGTGAGTAGGAAATCGATTTGGGTGGCGTGTCCGCCGCTCCTGTAGGTGATTAAATGCTCGGGGTTCTTTTTAAAGAACGTGTTCACGATGGCGAGGTCGGCCGCCGCACACGTTGTGAGGATGTCTCCTCCCTCCGCGTTGCGACTGCCGTACCCGTAGCCACCGTGGACCCGCTCGAACCCTTCGCACGCCTCACCCACATGACCGTTCAGGTCGCCACCCAAGACGACTGCCTGCGACAAAGGAATGGCACTCAGCACTTCCCCGAGTTGATCCCAGAACCTCGCCCTGTCCGTGTCGCTGCAACCGGCCTGAGGTGCGTAGGCGCTTATCAAGTGGGTCACGACCCCTTCGATAAGCACCCTCACTACCATAAGCCGGTCGCTAAAGCGTTTCACTTCCAGGACGTGATCGTGAAACTCCTTGGAGAGCACCACGGCCACCCCGTTCACGCCCCCAGGAGCACCGGTGTAGATCAGCTTGTAGCCATTCCCAATGAGCCGGGATCTGCTGCCTTTTCACCGAGTCTCCTGCAGGAACGCCACGGCGACCCTCCGCCTGGAAAGCACGTCTGCTAGCTCCCTCGTGCGTCCAGTCAGCGTGCCAATGTTTCCTTTACTTTCCAAAATTCCGTTTGCTTTTATTTTTATTCCGAGATTTCCCGTTTTTAATTTCATATTAATATCCAAAAACCCACATCAAAGTTCCACAACAACAACTGCGACTACAATAATATCCTGAAGAAGGAAGAAAATAATTATTTGAAAGAATTATCAAAAATTGGCAACTCAATGGAAATTGCATATGGCCAAAGGCTGGACGCCATAGTGCCAAAATATAGGAAAAACAAAAAAGTCAAGGTCTGTGAGGTCAAACTGTCAAAATAGCTATCTGAATAATAAAATGATAAAAAATCGTAATAATAATAATAATAATAATAATCGTAATAATATAAAATCTTCGCGCAAAACGACGGAACCATAGATACAAAAGTTGAAGTTGAATTAAATAATATGTTGAGCATAGCATTGGCCATTCAGTTCAATCATCAGCTCAAGTACTACTAGTATCCTCAATCATTTATCAAATATTATGAAGCAAATAATTTTATGCTTAAACCCTTAAACCAATAGTGTACCTTATATCAAAATACGACTCAAAAAATTTGTTTGTGTAAAACCTGATTTTCCCGCCATTTCTTATTACTCAATAGCCTGAGAATATTGCTGTTCTTTGTTAGGATAGGTGTGGATTTCTTTTCATAATTAAATTCATCGAATATATTGTATATGTACATATTCCGTGAATTTTAAAATATTTCAGGAGGTAGTTTTTCTTTCGGAATAATTATATAAACATTTGAAATGGAAACTAATAACGATGACCACGATTCAAACGAGCAACAAGCGGAAATAGAATACAAATACCCCATGTTATCATTTGAAAAACAAATCTTTATGGATGCGTTTGAGAAAGACGCACTCATAATTATGGCTAAGTACGTATTAAATCTGTGATAGTGGTATACATTTTGTAAGGAATAGATTTTTTCTTGACTAAATTGTGTATTTATTGCGTAATTATAAGTAAATGTACGTTATGAACTTGTATGATTTTTTTTCAGGGGACTTCATTACAATACTATTTTATGCAACTTACTAAACGTGTTCATAGATCCAAGCAATTTGGTGCTAGTAATCAATAGCAGTGAACATGAAGAAAAGTTTTTAACCGATCACTTTAAATTGTCAACATTACCTAACCTCGGAACAGACAGGTATTTTGATGTGTGGGAATAAAACTTGTTATTCTTTTTTTGTTATGTTCTTTCACTTAATGGATAAGTTTTTGCAACTCGTGGGCACTTCTACATTTTAGTCTTGTTAGTGAACCATGAGATAAACACAAACAAATTGAAAATTTAAACTCATAAAGTTGCACTACAAAGCTCACATGACTATACATATATTAGTTTGTGCATTGCCTTTGACTTGCTTTACTTCTATTGCCTTTTGTAATAATTTCAAGAAAATATCCTTACAAATTTACATATTGTTACTATGTTTTAGGGAAAAGGCATACTTAGAAGGTGGAGTGATAATTGTATCCACACGCATTCTAGTAGTAGACCTTTTAAAAAACAGATTGCCAATATCCCACATTACTGGTGTCATTGTGCTGAGAGCTCACACAGTTCTGGAATCATGTCAAGAGGCTTTTGCTCTAAGGCTGTATAGACAACAAAATAAGGTATGTAATACTTTTATATTGTGATTTGGAATCACTAACATCAGAAAGTTTACTAAGGATGTTGAGGTTTACCTATTTTACACCAAAATATGTGCCAATTCTAATTGTATTTAGTATTTCATCCATTTTCCATTTGTCATAATCATTTTTTATTACAAGAAACTAAAATAAATCTTGTACTTTTGCAATATGGTCACTTCTTTTTTGGAGAACTAAATAAAAATCTCAAATTCTTCAACATTCAGTTATTAAACGCTAGATGGTAGCCATTGATTCAAATTTCAATTAAAAAATGTACATTCAACAATATTATGCCAATAGGGTAAAGTTTAAATTGTATATTTGCAGTCTAGAATCTGTTATTTCTTTTTAAATTGAAGCTACACCCAATCATTGTCAAGAAAGAGTTTGAAACGAAGATGTCTTAAGATGTTTAAGCTTATGAATGTTAGAGTTTTGGTGGCAGTGGTTTGGATAGTAATCAAGACATAAAGCACTTCCAATGTTTTTTTCTTCCATGTTCATTACTATCATTTTATTGTTACAGACCGGCTTCATAAAGGCGTTTTCCAATTCACCAATATCATTCACATTTGGATTTCATCAAGTAGAGAAGGTTATGAGAGCTCTTTTTCTTACTGAACTATTCCTATGGCCCAGGTAATGACAAATTAGGCTTGTTAATTTTTTTTTATAAAAAAATAAATGAGCATGTGAACTCCATCTTGCTGGATTGTCAGTAACAATGAGGTCATGAATAAATGTATCTATTGTCTAAACAAAGGAATACTTACAAGATTTAAATTGCCAGTAATGTCGAATTTAAACTAGTTTCTATAACGCTGTGTTAAAATCTCATTATCTTCTTTGAATCAGTTTCCTGACTGCTAAGGGTGTCTTCACAAATGGAATTCTTACAGATAGTCTGCCATTATTTATTTTGACCCACAGCTTAATGCAAAACCTCGTGATGGTAATGCTTCGTGTGGATTAAATTCCAGTGTACACAAATTACTTTTGAAAAATACAGAATATTATATGGTATATTGAATATTGTAGGTATAGTTACCTTATTACCTATATTACAAAACTTAATTTTAGTGTTATCATTTCAGAGTGTCATTATATTGTGTTTTCCATTTTTAATATGAAAAATATGGTAATCTAGCTTAAATAATGATGGCGAAAGCTGCCCCAATAACGACGAAAGGCCATTCATGGACTTTACTAGTATAATTTTGCGTTTTAGTTTATGCCTAGTTATCAATATATTTTTGTATGTTTTTAGAAGTCAGGAATAAAAAATTTGTAAAACATTACATTTTAGAATAGATACAAGAACACAACGCAATTGATTCAGTTCAGCCATAAATTAGGTAACGTTCTTGTATTTACGTTTCTAGCATGATTGAATTTTACCTACCTGAAGTATTGGTTATTTTATAGTCCTCACATAAAACATTAAAGCTGTAAAATACCTAATGAAATAATCAATTAAACAGTAATGATTTAAAGCAAAAAATAAAACACAATGTGACAAAAATATTTAGACAATATTTAAATGAGAAATAATGACTGTTGCAAAGGAACGTTTTGACAAGAGACCTCTTACCAACATCAATGTCACATTGATATTGAGAACAGTGTGACCATTTGTGGCAAATTTCTGCCATTTGAGCAGATTTAATTTTTATTCATTTTTATTATTGCTGCTGCTGAACATGATAAGTTATATTTAAATGTGGCAGAGTTTGTCAGATTTGGGAATATTCGAGAAATTCTTTTTTATTTTTGGGAACAAAGTGAAAACTTGTTATTTTCTGCTACTACGAACAAACATCTGAAGCGAAATACAGGACAATGTTATAAACATAACCTATATCAACTTTATAACCCCAGCTTCTACAGGCTGTACTCAATTAGCTTTTTTTATGCTTTAATGATGAATCACAAGTATTGCTAGGTCTGCTTAATGCACGTCGTCAAAAACACTGGGTCACAAAATACACGGGATATTCTTTCTCATAAAATTTAAACCATTTGAAAATAATTGTTTAAAAGATCCTCATTTACAATTCAAGGTTTCATGGTACAGTGTTAAAAAGCCTCAAGATCAGGCAAGCACCCGTAGAAGAGCTCCATGTGCCACTATCTACTAACACATGTCACATTCAGACATGCCTCATTGATATCATGAACTACACTGTTAAGCAGCTGAAGAGCATTAACAGAACTTTTGATATGCAGGTATTTACGATTCATTTACTCAAGTCTGCTACAAGAATATTTGAGTAAATCTTAAGTAGATATATCTATTTTTTATACTATCAAGAGTCGTCCACAACATTGCTTTAACTCGTTCTCTGTACATACATCATATGTGGTGTATTTCGAGGTCCAAACGATACGTGAGTGCATCACATATAAGGCACAACCCTTTATAAATGTAAGTAATACAACTGCATATTACGTGGTCAATTATTTCAGATTTCCAGTTACATGTTAAGACCATGTAACATAAACTATATCGTTTACCCGTAGATTACGTATAAAATATTAATGTACTGCAATTTAACCTATAGTCCGTCTTTTTTGAAGATGTAGTAACATGACATTTGCAGGGTTGCGAGTGTTCATAAAATTTTAATAGTCATTTAGTTGTCGTCGACTGTTTTATTGATAGATTGTGAAATAAGCTACAAACATGCCTGAATTGTGAATGTTACGACATTGTAATGATTACTTACATAATGCGTTATTGCCTTTTTTATTCTTATTTCGACACTTGGCCTACTACTATCGAAATCTATTTTTATTAATATACATTTTAATAAGAACAGGTGGAGTTAATTATCTACGTTGAATCAAAATGAAAACTTTAAAATAATCGACTGTGAACTGGCAATCGGCACTATCTCAGTTTTAACAACTTGACAGGATGAAGAAAAAAATTGTTTGTCATTTATATCGCATCTGGTTTATTAAATAAAAATACGTAGTTTTTAGACATTTTTATTACACATGTATACTACATATTTTTATTTAATAAACCAGATGCTATATAAATTATTTTTTCTACAAACTTTAAAGTTGTCAAAATTGAGATAGTACCGGTTGCCAGTTCACAGTCAATATGTCTCCTTATTCTATTTTTCAAAGTTACAATACTTCTACACGTATGAACTTACAAAATTGAGAATTCAAATATATCTGTGCCCAGTAGTTGGACGAATAATGGGCAGATGATGATTTAAATTATACAAATACGGTTATTTATTGCATAAGCGTAACCAACATTCAGTCGATAGTCGATAGAATATTTATCGACTGCAATCGCTAAGCTGCATGCAACACTTTTGCGCAATGATCAGTCATTTTACGCTTAAAAAAGATAGACTATAAACAATAACATGTCTGAATATACATCATGAATTTTTTTTTTGGTTTGCAGGAAATCACAACAGAAAATTGTTTAACCAAGAAATTTCACAAAATCCTACAGTCACAACTAGATTGTGTTTGGCATCAACTAAGTACAAGGACAAAAGAATATATCCAAGATCTCAAAGTTTTGAGGAGCATGTTATTGTATGTACATATTATTAACAACTTAACAGTTTATTTTGAAGGAACTTACATTTTCACAGTTTCACTTTATGTTTCAGAAACTTAATCCACGATGATTCTGTCGGATTCTATGCCCTCGTCAGTAAATACAGAACACCAGAATATGCCAAAGTAAACTCGGGTTGGATTCTACTTGATTCAGCTGAACAACTTTTTCGCTTAGCTAGAGGAAGAGTCTACAATTCTAAAAATGGTGAGTTAGTCGAAACATCTAGCAACAACACGTATAATTTTTTATAAGTTGTTCCTATGGCGTACAGTAGACTGGCGCCTATTGCCTTGGAAGTGTCGATGAGCGTAAGTAGCGTTATATTTTTATTCCAGAATTCGATCCCGAGTCTTGTCCAAAATGGGAAGTCCTTGGTAATCTTATGACGCAAGAAATCCCACAAGAAGTAAAACAGAAGAAAAATGGTTCACTCAAAAATACCAAAATCTTAATTCTGTGTCAAGATATGAAAACCTGCAGTCAGCTCAACCATTATCTTACTATGGGTGGACATAAATATCTGTTTTACAATGCTTTTAGAAAAGAATTGACAGTGAACAAAGTATCAAAGAAGTACACAAGTTTAACGAATACTGTACCAGTTGAAGCCGAAGCAAAGAAAGAAAAAGGTAAGAAGACAAAAAAAGATAAAGAAACAGCATCAAAAGAAGATGAAAGCGAGAAAACAAATGAATTGGACAATGAGGAAGACGATGATTTCAACCTGGATGATGCAAATAAGTCTAATTACGTGTTAACTTTAACACAAGTGTCTAAACAAAGCAAAAATAATAAAACTCTAAATGAAGAAAGCATCTTTGAACCCATTTCCCAAGTACGTTTATCTTATATGAAATATTAACAGAATATTCGTTAATTTTACCATTATCATTATTTTGTACTTAATACTTAATAATTTTTTAGCTCGATAGTTTAGATATAACTCAAATAGAATCAGAAAAACCTCTCATCTACATTCAGACATTTAAAGAAAATGGCAACAATTTCTCACTTGATAGGACATTAGAATTTATTCGTCCTGAGTACATAATTTTGTACCACACCGATGTCGCTGCAGTGCGGCAGATAGAAGTGTTCGAATGCAGGAAGAGACATGACGAACCAACAACGAAAGTTTATTTCATAATTCATGATAAAACCGTGGAAGAACAGGCTTATCTAACTACTTTAAGAAGAGAGAAGCAAGCTTTTGAGTTACTAATTCAGACAAAATGTGTAAGTTTCAAATCTATCACATATGTGTAACCATTTTTTAAAGTGCAACTACCTGAAAACCTATGCATCTTGCTTTTCGTAGGTGATGGTTGTGCCGTCGTATCAAGATGGCAAGACGGACGAGTATTTCAATCTCAATGTCGTAGAAGAAGACAATGTGGATACTAGAAAAGCTGGTATATAAGTTTGGTGTAAATTATTCAACCTACAAAAGCTCTTTTAGACTTAAGTATACCAACAGTAATTGTTATATTTTTTATGTAGCAAAAATACACAATTTTCAAATGATACTGAAAGGTTTCAGAATAACTTCGTCGAATGTGACTTTTAAGCAGCGACCATAAACTGTTGTAGAAAAGTACAATTTACGTTGTTACGAGTGCTCGTTTAATATTCTAGTTATTATTTTTAGGCGGACAAATTCAGAATAAGGAGAAACCATTAGTCATAGTGGATATGAGAGAATTTCGTTCAGATCTCCCATCGTTGTTGCATAAAAACGGTATTAATATCGAACCTGTGACAATTGCTGTAAGTAGTGAACAATTGTAACAAATTACTTTTAGTAAATTGCTCAGAGGTCATTTGTGGTCAGTGAGTGAGCTTTGAACCAATAGAGAAACCCATTGATGTCGACATAGTTATTATCACATAGTTTGGTAATAAACAATCTTACGTGTTCAGGCTAAATGAAGCGTCACTAAGATGTTAGTATTAACTTTCAGATTGGGGATTACATCTTAACACCCGACATTTGTGTGGAGCGAAAATCAATATCGGACCTTATCGGGTCTCTAAATTCCGGCCGTTTATACACGCAGTGCACGCAGATGTGTCGCAATTACAGCCGTCCTATTCTGCTCATCGAATTCGACCAGAACAAGCCTTTTAACTTGCAGGTTTGATATTGTAATAGCCAGATTATCACATATCGCCTACTGCGAAAATACAGAAGTCGTGGTGGTAAACGATACGCCTGTCTATAACTTTCGACTTATTATAGGAGAACATACATACATAAATAACATCAGACAGGTTTCTCAATTTGCTTGTTTGTTTAGTGTTTTTTTTAAATGTGACAGTTTAGAGAAATCCGAAACCGTAGAAGATACAAGGAAACTGTCTCAGGAACCATTAAGTTTTTTTTTTTGTGAAAACAATTTTGGCTGTAATTTTTTTTTTTTTTGGTGAAGCGTTAATTGTCCTTAAAAATTAAAAAAAAATGATAAATTTTGTTGCAAATAAATAAAATTTAAAATTTATAAAACTTTTTTAGTACTGATCGACTCAGTTTCATGAAGGGATCATTTCATTGTATGGGATGAAAAAAATTGGGACGGCAGAAGTTGGTCAAAATTAATTTAAAAAAATCACAAAATTAATAAAATTTTATTAAATTTTATCAACTTCCGCTGTCCTGATTCTTTTTTTCCAATACAATAAAATCATTCTCACAAGAAAACAGAGTCTTCCAATCAGCATTAAAAAAAACAATTTTATTCATTTTGTATGAAAAATCATTTTATTCAATTTAATCAATTTCTGCTGTCCCGATTCTTTTCTTCCAATATAATGAAATAATTCTTACAAGAAACTGATTCTATCAGCATTTATTCATTTTGTGAAAAATAATTAATCTACTGCTGTCCCGATACTTTTCTTCCAATACAATAAAATCATTCTTACAAGAAACTGAGTCTATCAAAAAAATTGTAAATTTTTTCTTTTTGTATTAAAATTATTTTATAACATTTTACCAACTTCCGCTGTCCTGATTTTTTTCGTCTCGTATAATGAAATGATCCTTACATAAAATAGAGTCGATCAGCACAAAAAAAAAATATCAATTTTATTTTTATTGACAACTCACGTTTCAAAAGAAATTGACTATGCCAAAATTGTTTTCATAAAGTTAATGGTTCCTTAAGGTAGGCGTCCACAGAGCCGCATCAAACGGCTCCGTTTGTCGCAGTGCGTCCACTTTATCCGCAGCAATCGGATTGCCGACGCAACTACTAGCTATCAGATTGCCGACGGCGACGCCACTTTTCGTAACGAGCGGACGAGTGTAACTTGTGTGTGCGAGACAATGGATTTGGAACCATTTGTTGGTAGAAAAAAGAAGAGAAAAAAAAAGGAAACATGATATCTGGATACATGACATATTTAAGAAGAGATCGCAACGCAGCGGCGCGCGAAAGGGGTTCGTCCACTGGTAGGCAATCCGTATGACGTCGTCGGCACGCATCAGAAAAGTTGCACCTCCGAGCAACTGCGTCAGCATCACCGACAGGCCTGTCCGTGCGATGCGGACGTCTATAACAAAGAATACTAAATCCGTATAATGCGATCCGTCCGCTGCGTGCGCTGCGGATCTGTGGACGCCTGACAGTTTCCTTTCTATGATTTCGGATTTCCCCATAGTGCCCCATTAAAAAAAAACATTATGTTGGCTGAATCATGATTTAAGCTTCTTGACTCTAGATAATGTAAACATGTATATAATGGGTAGTGAACTTTGTGTTTAATTATTCTTAACAATTAAAGCTCTTATATACCTTCCAACAGGTTACACGATTTAGACCTATGTAAGCAGATGACCAAATAGATTCTAATCCCGGTTTTTTCACGTGTGTCCGTTCCTATTAAGAATATTTCTCTGATGACCTGAAGCCTGAACATCTGAAGCCGAGTTCTAAGTGATCGGCGATGCTTTATTATTACAAGGTTGTTATCGACCAGTTCATATAAATGTAAAAATACATTTGGCTACAATGACTATGGCCACAAGCCAAGTATGGAGAATTTAATTATGTCATCTCTATTTAAATTACACTAGGCAACAGTATTTCTATTTATTAAGTTAAAAAAATTACAGGATCATAAAATAAAACAAAGATAAAATACAAAGTCTGATTTCAACATGACTTGTTTTTAAAAATCTCTTATTTTCCAAGGACCGCCTGTACGAGCATCTGCAATTCATAAATAACTGGTGAAATGTTACACCTAACAAATTTAATTTTTATTTTGTATAACAATTGTATATACCTTGTTTAGATAGGACTAAACTACTACTTTGTATAGATATACACATAACTGTAATTGATCCATGTATATACATACATATCATTTAAAAAGTTACCTACAAGGTATTGCATTTTTTTCTAGGGCGGTTTGTCTGACAACTCTCTAGGCCGCCGCTGAATACATCTGCAATGTTACAGGGTCACTTTGTAGTGTCGAACGATATTTCGGGGGTAGACATACAACAGAAATTGCAACTGCTCACGATACATTTCCCAAGATTGAAACTAGTGTGGTCTCCCAGTCCGTATGCTACGGCGGAGTTATTTTATGAACTAAAGGTAAGATAATAATTATATGCTTAAACCTATTTTTTGAGATTGCCAGCGTCATATACTGCTCGCAACTTGAGTAACATATTGGCAATAAAATCAATACCTAACCGTTAAATATTTACATTTTAGCAAGGAAGAAAAAATCCAAATGCATCTGAAGCACTAGCACTTAGCGGAGATAACACGGCAGAGGATATAAATTATGAGAGATATAACATCATGGTCCACGATTTCGTGCAGAAACTGCCAGGTGTGACATCAAAGAATATTGCCAGGATTATGAACAAGGGCATCTCCTTAGATCATCTTATTATACTCACTAAAGTAAGTTTTCTTAAAAATATATACAATGATACAGAGAAGAGAGATTATTGAGATTGAAGAGAGTATCATGGGTGGTACGGATTACGTATAGATATTGCTGGAAATAGTACCTACTTACGAATTTTACATGTATGAAACGACAGTAACATTACTAATTTTAAATATGGTGCTGGTAATGCTGCAGCTAAATATAACAATATCATTTAAATAAAATAAGTAGTGTACATTTGTGTACAGGAACAAATAGCAGAAATAATCGAAAATACGAAAGAAGCAGATGTTTTGCATTCCATATTACACAAGAACGCCAATCCTACGGACGCGACCAAGAAAGACGAAAAACTATATGGTAAGAGGAAATTTTCAAAACTGTTTGTAACGAAGAGTAAATAATAACATTGTTATTAGTTTCAAAAGCTTAATTTATTTGTACAATTAATTCATAGTTGCATTGAATAAATAATAATTATAAATACATTATTGTATTAATTTTATTTTACTGAATTAAATCCGTAAAATGTCTACGTTATTTTTTGATTCATAATAAACGCCATGGACCTAAAACAAATATGATAGCAATGAAACTTAGGATTATTCCGTAATGTTGTACAAAACAAGCTGTATTGTAAATATGGATTCTATCCTGCTAGGCTGCAATCCATATGAGTAATTATTTTTTTCGTAACTAATTAATCCATGCATTACTACTACATTGTGTATGTTTTTATGAAAATAGTTTCACAAACCTCATTTTTTATTTCTTATTATACTTATTAAAAGCTGAAAATAAATAATGTTATTTAAAGCTACACAATAATTACATTATGTATAACAACATGAATCAAATGTGTAATTTTAATTCACTCACAATACGTTATAATTATACACAACACAGTACAACATGAAATCACGAGGCACTATTAAAATAATATTAAATTAAATGCCGAAGTTATAATTAATGACTATAACCACGTCGACGCATCAACATTTGAAAGTACAATAAGCTTAAAATTTCATTGATTGTATTCGCGTTTTTTTCAACATAACGCGTGCTAGGACACCGAGAAATATTATAGTGAGAATGAACACTGCGCATAT